AAATTTGAAACCCCTCATATTTTTGTGGCTCAGTGTAATATTTATTTAAAATAATTTTTCCTGTTTTTCCTTGAACTTTTTTAAATGCTTTCTTCGCATTATCTATTAATTTAACAGCTTCAACTACAGATACAGATGTATTTTGCAATTGTACAAGGACTTTTGACACAAAGGAATAATTTGATTTTATGTAAACAAGTTGATGTGGTAATCGAGCCTTAAACATTGGTATATATTTTCAATTTTTCACTTTGCATTTGGGATTTCCAAAATGAACTTAAATATTAAGATTACAAAGAATAGACTCGTCTTACGAAAATTTACTAACAGAGTTTTTTTTGGGAAATTTAATTTCCTACAAGGATAAGAGATGAAAAATTTTTTTAAAATTGACCAAGTCCGAAATTTATGCAAAAACGCGACAACTGTTGAAAAATCAATAACTGCAATGATGCACCTCTTAAAATTATTATTAAGGGCTCAAACTTTCAGGAAATTTTTTTTTGTCGTCATGAACAATATTTTCATAGTTCGGCTAAGAAAAAAAATTGTTTTATTTTTTTGGCCCAGTCTAGATTAAAATAATAAGACCAGTTGCCCATCATGATGAAATGTCAAACATTTTCCGACTTATTTGGATTATTTATGTTTTTTAATGTGTATCTGCCTAATATTAAACGTGCTTATTTGTGCAGTAATATTACCGACTGTACCATGAACAAGAAAAGCAACACCGAGCATAGCTTAGCTTTTACAGGAATTTTTATTATCATTCCGTATAATTTTACTTTTAGGAATGTGTTTACAAAAACTACTGCTGTTTTTAAAGGAATAAAGTTAGCTCTAAGAATTGTATATAACCATTTTTGTCTTTAAATTAACATCCTTTGAAAATTAAAATTTGAATATTAGCTTTCCAGCCTGTTCTTGTTTTAAAACACTATTATAAATGGACTTACAGCTAAAAGTACAGCAGGTACTATAGGCATAATTATTTAAAGTTTTTATCTACCTTGTAACGGATCAACAACGGGCCACCAGAAACTTTTTAACATTTATTTTAATTAAGTAATTAAAAGTCGGAATAGAAACAGCACGGAAAGATATCAAACACCGCCATTATGCGATAGTTACAGGATGACAACAAAAACTACTTTATTTCTGTAAGAAAAATTCCCAAACTTTCGATTCTTTATTAATACATACTTTTAACAACCAGTGGCGACTCGTCATCAAAATATTGAAGGTTCTCAATGAGAGAATACACATAGATCTCTGAAGAGATTTAGGTAAAAAACGTTCAGTGTTTATAATATACACTAAACTGTTTTACCTAAATTTGTACTGAGATCTATATTATCTCATTGTGAACCCGCAATATTTTGGTCACAAGCCGTCACTGTTAACCACCAATTAAAGGAAACACTGTTTTAGTTTAAGCTAATCTTAAGATGGCAAAACAAAAAAGTATACTAACACGTGAGTACAATGTACCGAAACTGGACTCGATCGCCGTGTTGCCAGATTTATCTTTGTTTGGCTAGTGCAGTGGTCGCCAACCTCTCAATGTGTTGAGCTACTTTGTTAATTTTGGAATAAACAGCGAGCTACCCACACTGAACCCACGTAACGCAACGTAAATGAAATAATCCACAGTTAATTTATCATTATATGTATTTATTTTACTATTTAACTGGTAATACATAATACATAGGTACTAATAATAAACTAATAACAGAATAACTAATATTACTAGTACGTACTTGTTCATAGCTACATTCCTACTTACCAAACGAAGGTGTTTGAAAAATAAACACAAACTTTTATCCAGCCACAACGGCATGTCACGTAAGATTTAAAAATAGTTAATAATAACGACAAAAAAGTAACGCACTATCATGAACATAAACATTGAAAAATAAAAAAGCACGTTCAATGAGAAGGCTGACACTCAGACTCATCGATAATTTTTTTAATGTTTGCAGTATAATTTGATACAGCCATTCGAATACAATTATCCAAATGTTCATCTGTAAGTCGATTGCGATATTTGTTCTTAATAAACTTCATATTGGAAAAAGAATATTCACACAAATAATGAATAATGTTTTCACTTTCAAGGCAACACGGCATAGAACTGAATATTTGTCTTTACTTACAATAGGCCAGATACATTTGGTACTTGAGACTAACGATTTTAAGGCTAAATTATTTTGAAACTCAATTACTTCCATTTCTGTTGCAGCGATGTTTTCGCCAAAGTTCTGCATAACCCAAGTTGCAAACTGTTGGATATCAATTTTCATAAAGGGTGAAACAACAAACTGCGCTACTAAAGCCATTTCGTTGAAATCCTTAAAACGATTTTTGAAGTTATTCCATAGGGTAGAAACTATTTCTACATGATATTTGCTGTCATAGGGTTCTAATGGATTTTGAGATATTTTTTCTGAAAGAATAGGAAAATGCTTGGCATCGCTGCTAATTAGATTTTGTTACCAAAACTCCAACTTTCTGATAAATTATTTTATATCAGAAATCATTTCCGCTAGTTCTTTGTCTCTCCCCTGAAGCTGCAAATTAAGTTCGTTTAATTTTTCTGTAATGTCCACGAGAAAACCAAAATCTCTAAGCCAGATTGAATTTTCTAGTTCCGGAGTCGGTTCATCGCGTTGTTTGAAAAATGGAACTATGCCAGATAGTACATCATTAAAACGATTCAGCACCCGTCCTCTACTTAACCATCGGACTTCAGAGTGAAGGAGTAGGTCCCCGTATTGACAGTCAACTTCATCGGCCTAGGTTTTGAATAATCTTCTTTGTAACGCTTGAGCTCTAATCTTGTTCACAATTTTTACCACCAGTTTCATATCGTTGCTTAGTTTCAGGAAATTTCCACATAATGCTTGCTGATGGATAATGCAGTAGTAATAGAGAAATTGCGGAAAAGTTTCTTTACGACATAACGCCACCAGACCCTTATCACAACCCACCATAGCTGGAGCACCATCGGTTGCGAAGCCTACCATTTTCGATATTGGAATTTTCTCGGAAGAAATAATATTTTTTAAATGAGAAAACAACTCCTGTCCAGTAGTGTGTCCTTTCAGTGGAATAAACTTCAAAAGATCTTCTTTAATCGTAAAATCACTAAAAACCATCCTGACGAACACGGCCATCTGGGCAGTGTCAACGACATCTGTTGATTCATCCAGTTGAAGTGAAAAATAAACACAGTTATCTAAGTCAGTTCTTAACTGTAAAAAAATATCATTGCTCACTACTTCTACATGTCTCATCACTGTATTAGCAGAAAGTTGCATAGATTTTATAGCTGAAACTATCTCGTCTTTATTTCTAAAGTTGGCAAATAACGAATCAGCAGCTTCTAAAAACGCCTGTTTTATCATTTTCCCGTTATCATAAGGTTTCTTTTTTTTGTGCAATTATCTGGGACACACAGTACGATGCTTCAGTTGCAGCCTTATTTTTGTCGACTGTTCTTAAAAATATTGATTGTTGTCCAATTAACTGCTTTTTTAACTGTTTCAGTTTCTCCTTTCTGGCGGCAGAATGTAGTGGAAATGATTTTTCAAAATTAGAATGTACAGTTTTATGATGTCTCTCAATATTTCCTTTTTTAGCAACGGAGACCGAAGTATTACGTAACAAACACACATTTTTATCTTTAACTTCTGTAAAAAAGTATTGTTCTTCCCATTCCGAATGAAAGTGGTATGTCTTTACCTTCTTACAACTGCTTGCCATAATATTATTTTTTATTGTTCTCTACTAACCCAACCGCTGGACGTTGGTTACGCGTTCAGTTTTAAACTAAGTGCAATGTCGCCGCGCCGTGCGTATTTATCCCGTTCAAAGCAATCCTGATCGTTCTCGAACACTAACGCGCTGGTCCGGCTGGTCGGTTCTAGCCGATTCTAGCTTGATGGCGTCAGCGGCAGATCGCTCACCGCAACGTTGCCGCTGTTTATGTTTAACATTATGACAATTAAATTTTTTTGTGGAATTTTTCTCTGATTTTTGCAGTTTGTATTTTTTAAATTATAATCGTTGTGAGAGCTACCAGAATTGCCTCCGCGAGCTACTGGTAGCTCGCGATCGACAGGTTGGCGACCACTGGGCTAGAGAAACAACGGCAGTGATCTTGAGAAGCATTTATGCTGCATTCCATAACTGACTCCTACTCTTCACTCTCCATAACTAACCATCGCTACAATAAATCACTTTATGCTGTTAAGTTAGTTTCGAAATAATTGGAGTAAATCGATTGGAGTGAATTGACCTCACTAGGCTATAATATAACCAATAGAAATATAGTGTCAACATTTGTGCTCCCCCTTTGACTAAAATAAAGCTCGCCTATTAGCTGCATATTGGAATCTTTTTAGTTGTTACAAATCAGAAAAAGTAGATTATTTTCCTCGCCTGCCAACTTTGACATTTTAACCAATCACATTGCAATTTACGGTATCGTTAGAACCAATCAGAATCAACTAAATCGACTATTTTTTACTGATTATCTCATACTTGATTATTGGTGTAATAATTACTGTCAAATTCATTTTATTGTATATTTATTAATTTAAGTTTCATCTAGGGCTCTAGAAATAATCTCGTTAAATATAACTCGACCTTAATAAATTTGCGCCTACTTCTTTTGTTACTAAATTTTTCGGGTATTTTGCAATTTATCTCGACATAATTTTATCATGAATAATCCAAGAATAGAGTCATCGAGCTAAAGCTGTCTGAATCTATTCAAATTATTAATGACAAAATTATGTCTTGACAAATTGATATCAAAGACACTCAAAATTTAGATACAATGAAATTTGTCGACTACTCATCAAGATCTCGTTTTATTACCCTTGAATATTTTGATCATCTTGAAGAAAAATGCAATTTTTTACTTGATTATAAAGTAGTATTTTCATATTTTCCGATTGTTTTTATTTAAAAGTGTTTTCTTTTTGTTACAGGGTCCGCGTTGAATACTACGTCAATGAAAATACATTTAAGGAACGACTGCAACTATATTTTATCAAAAATCAAAGATCTAGTAAGTATACACATTTGAATTTTCACATTGTCCTATATAAAAACAAATATATACACACAAAAATAAAGAAGACAGGAAATTTTCTCACAAAAAAACAAGCGACCATTTCACTTCGGAAAACAACAGATATTGGACTATATCCAAAGAAAAACAGCAGATATAGAAAAGTATTTTTCCTACGACCACTTACGCAAGTGACACATATCGTACAATTTAGTCTTACGGGAAATGTCCTATATCACACGTGTGTGGATAAGAATCTACTTTCCACCCGTGTGTGAATGTCTACTTTCCGCACGTTTGTCAATTATGTCAAACGCGTAATTTCTATTTTGATCTACGTAATGTTCATATTAATAGTAAAATAGATTTAATGATTAAATCGTTAATATTTATGTTTATACCTAGATTCTAGATATTTATTTTTAACAAATTATTAAAATAAATTTTAAGTAACATTATGTTTCTATTTTATTTTGTTAATATATTAGATTATATGAATCACACTCGTAATTTCAACACTCAAAATTAAAGCTAGAGCGTGTAATCTAATACTTGTTGTGGTATTAGTCAAAGGAGAAGCTGTTTTCCGGGAGGAAAATGGTTGCTGGTATTATTTTTTGACACATGACTTGTATATTTTCATACTTAATGACATATATAAAGACGTTCTATATTTTTTTACGTCCTCTATGACAAGATATATTATTTCTCTATCATTTAACTCATTTCCCCAAAATTTAAAGTTATCCTCCTAATAGTAGTTCTTCTGATAGACCTTCTGATAAATATTCTAGTAGATCTTCCTAATAGATATTCTCGTAAATCTTCTGATAGATCTTTTGCTAGATCTGGTATATCTGTTAAATCTTCTGTTATATTTTCTGTTAGATCTGTTAGATCTTCTGTTAAATCATCTATTAGATCTTCTGTTAAATCTTCTGCTAGATCTTCTGCTAGATCTGGTAGGTCTTCTGTTAGATCTTTTGTCAGATCTTCTGTTAAATCTTTTGTTAGATCTTCTGTTAGATCTTCTGTTAGATCTTCTGCTAGATCTTTTACTAGATCTTATAGATCTTCTGCTAGATCTTATAGATCTTCTGTTAGATCTTCTAATAGATTTTCTGGTAGATTTTCGGGTAAATCTTCTGGCACCAACTTTGCTATCAGAAGACTTGCAGTCCAAGTTCTTTCATCTGCAAAGGCAAGACAACAATAGAATAGGATTTTACTTTTTTAAATCTGAAAACAATTGACGAGTCATTCCTTCAAAGTGCTTTATTACAGGTTATACAGCAATATTGAAAGGCTTTCTGCAGACCTACTGGTTAGTAATATAATTCAAATTAATGTCTTGATCGGAAGACCCTGTGTGTTTTGATGATCAAGTGGTTAGGCGCTGGAATGCTTCTGGAACAAGGCATATGGATACTTTTTAATGTTTCATTTTGATTGTTTTTAGCTTGATTTTGGAAATACATTCTATAATTTTGTAGGAGGAATTTGGGTCTTTGTTTCCGAATTTCCTGAAATTCATAACCTATTTTTTTTAACTTTTCTTTATCAAAAAGATTTAGTTGACAGTATGTTCTTAGTACTATTAATAACATGAGACTTGAATTACCAATTTTTCTAGTTTCTTTTAGCGGTATATTTCTTCATAGGGCAATTGAGTTTTTTTAAAAGAGCTGAAATTTTATTTCATTCATTTACATTAAATGAATGTATTTGCCGGAATGAAGTTTTAAATCCCTCATACACTTTGATGTTCTTGAATCAATTTGGGTTAAAGGTGTCATAAAAGTTTTCTATAAAACTATAGGTAGAACCATAAAGTACTTTTATTCTCTTCGTCATAATGTAGATATGCAAATAGGATAGTATTCATGCATTTTAAAGTTATGTTTGATTGTTTTATTACCGGCAGCTTTTATCTTGAGATGAGATTTCGTTTTAAATAAAATTTTGACTGTCTTTTCTGAGAGTAAAAACTGTTTTACAGCAAATAAAGTTTTAGGTGTACACTGAGAAGTTAGAAATGAAATTAGTTATTTTCGAAGGTGTGAAGTATTTTTAAACGGTTTCAGCTATTAAACCATAATTATGTAACTACAAATAATATAAAGAACTCACTTTAGTAAAACTATATCCAGCCTTTCTCTGAAAATAAAAACTGTTTTACAGCAAATAAAGTTTTAGATGTGTACACACTGAGAAGTTAGAAATGAAATTAGTTATTTTCGAAGGTGTGAAGTATTTTTAAATGGTTTCAGCTATTAAACCATAATTATGGAACTACAAATAATATAAAGAAAACACTTTAGTAAAACTATGTCGAGCATGGACTAGTCTTGCTGTTGCATTTAGGCATATTGAGATAATTCTAAAGAAAATAATTAAAATAAAGATATCAACAAGTGCACAAATTATGTGGTCAATATTATCTACATAAAAGCCGTAATAAAAAATTACATCGTTAAAAATTTAGAATAGCTAATTGAATTGTGAAAGCACCATACACCATTTCTGTTATTAACTGCGTAGAAGGACACACACAACGACGTATGTCACGTAAACCTGAAGATGACCATATAGACCAAAACTAGTTTTTTTTGGTCCAAGTACCAAAGCATTAACGATTATTACAATCTGATCATTAAGATCAATTAGCAGTTTTAATCTAACTTATCTATGCAGTGATGAAAAAATTCATAAACTAAGATTCTACTCACTAGTGTCAAATTATTGAGTTATACTACTATTAACTTATTACTCTGCTTTTATCTAACATTACTGAACTAACTCAAAAGGCTTGGTTCTCTTGAGACTTCTTATTAGATTGGCATTGTTAAGGACATTAATATCCTCAACGCTCCTATGTTGGAGCAGTCGTTGTTGGTGACTACTGGCAAATTTTTCTATTGCATTTTCAACGATATCCACTTTAAGGTCCCTTTAAAGATCAGTACTGGGGTAGTAACAGGGTGCATCGACGATGTTTCTTAATACTTCATTCTGAAAACGTTGAATAACTTAGATGTTACTTTTACTGGCACAGCCCCAAAGCTGGATACCATACGTCTATACGGGTTTCAATATGTCTGTAAAGAAGCAGATAACAAACTGCTGTTGAATAATTTGGAGTTTTTTCCTGATAACCAATACATTCTTTTGTATTTTATACCAAACTTTTAGCGAAGTTTAGTATCAAGTGTCATATCTATATATTTTGTTGTATTAGCAAAAGGAATTTGAGTGTCGTTTATTCTAATAGGAATATATTTATTTTGTTTGTTGCTCAAGCTGATATGGACAGATTTGCTTTCATTCAATTTTATCCGCCATCTTTTCGTGCAGGTGTTAATCTGGTCCATAGATTTTTGCAATTTTCTATCTTCGTGATTTTTCTTCAACAGCAAGGATTGCAGTATCGTCAGCAAAATATTGCGCTAGTATTGGACTCAAGATCAGGAATATCTCTATTATATTACAAGTAGAGTACTGGACCTAGTATAGTACCTTGAGGTACTCCTGCCTTAATTTCTCTTAGGTCAGAATAGGCTGCTTCCTGTTTAATTCTGAAATACCTTTTTGATAAATAGGATTTTAATAGCTCAAAGTATTGACGTTGCAGGAACATGTTTAGTTTTTCAATCTGGCCTTTATGTCATATTTGGTCAATAGCATGAGACACATCCTAAATTTTTTCTTCTTGGGACGTCTCGATGATATCTGTGTTTTATGGTCGAGTGTTTTTCTCGGAATAGTCCAAGAGCTAGTAACACAAATTTCATTAAGTGTTTGATGCACTTTGAAATTTTGTAATTTGAAATCATTTGGGTGGAAAAGTAGATATACCTGTGTTGGCTAGACCCACCCCGGGACACCAGGTACTACGCATAATAGAAAGGGGTCCTAAAATATGACCCAAAAATAGTGTTTGATTCAGAGGCCAACAAACAACAATTGAAAGTTTAGGTAATTCTAAAAATACTACTAATTTAGGCAGATGTATAATTAATAAATCAACCCCAAAGTTGATTTTTATTAAATATGATTTGAAGTGTTTGATTCGCACTGAAATTTTAAAAGCGACTTAATTAAATATAAAAAAAATTAATTCCAAAAAGGCAGACACTTTTTCCGGGGTTTAATTGCCGGCCAACATAAAAATAAGTCTTATTTACTATAGAAAGAGATTTTAAATTTATATTTCGGAGTATAATAAAAAAAAGCATTTATTTAGATGACTTATGTTTAAACTTTTAATCTCTCAAGATTGAAAATTAATACAATTAAGTAATAATGATACTTTTATAGTTTTTAAATCATATATTTATGTGATTCCATTAAATTACAATGTAGGTATTATTTGACATGATAAAATTTTTCGTAAATATTTGTAGTAATAAATTGTTATATATTATTGTAAGCGATTCGAAACTTCTATCAATAAGTGCTCGGTGGCGCAAATCGTACAGTGGTCAAAATTTGGAAAGTGTCATAGCAAGTTGGTGGTTCGAGCCCCCGAAACTTTTAGTTTTTTTTTTCTAATTCTAGGTCTGTTTGTAGCTTTTGTTGATGCTGCAGCAGTTCATTTGCTATTAATAAATTATATTGTATTGATTTTGGGCTTTATTTACATTTCACTATTGACTAAATTTGAGAAAAAGGACAATCTTTCATTAATGACACAATAACAATAATAACAGCACCATAGTTTTTGATATTGTAAATGAAACTTTTTAATACTTTGTCTCTTTGTTTCAGGTCTTAGGATAAGAATCGCCAATTTATTCTTTAAACTACTTACATGTATCCTATACATAATTCGTGTAATTATAGACGACGACCCTATGAACGCAAAATGGTGAGTTATATATGATACTAATATGTCTTTTCATAAAAATTGTTTAATATTTTAGACGCAGGTTTTTTCTATATAGACTTATTTCCAAAGCATATTTATATTCCTAGCTGTAAATTCTTAAAAATAGGAACTACGAAAAAAAAAATAGAGAAAATAAATATTTGGTATTTTTCTGGAAAAAATTGTGAAATTGATAGAAAAAGATAAAAAGAATATCAATTTAATAAAATTTTATAAAAAATATACAATCAATGCAGCCTTTAAAACTAATCTCAATATTAATAGCTTTAAAGTAAGTTGGGCTTCGTGTAATGCTGTCTATTGCTGCGTTTGAATATCGACCTTGGATGCATCTGAGATGTAAATTTTTAATCACGTGATAGAGGATTAGATCTGAATGTAGATGTAATAAACAAACGCTCTAAACGTTATTGGTCACGTGATAAAATGACAATGACAAGTTAGAAGTTTATATTCTTTAAATTTGACTTTTGAAACTGGAAATCAACCTAAATTTATATTCTAAACAAAAATTAAACACACTAAACACTTTTATATTCACGCTAGAATAAATCAATAATCTTTGCTTCACAGAACACCTACTTTCTGGCATGGAACGAACATCTCATTTCAAATCGAGATGTAAACAATGACCTGGAGTGAGGTAGAAAGCCAATGTGCATATTTTATTAATAGAACAAGATGCGACTCTATGGGCGCAGCCATTTTTATTTCTCATCTCACTCGGGAGTATTTTTAATAACCATTGCCTGTTTCACATTGTTATTGTTCAATCCACAAGCTGGTGGATCAGACAATAACAAAGTAAAATAGAAAATGCTTGTTATAAATACTCCTGAGTGAGATGGAAAATAACCTGTCTTCGCCCATAGAGTCGCATCTCAAGCCTATTGGCAAGCATTCTACCCCACTCCAGTTCATTGGATGTAAAAAATATAATCTGGACAGCTACATCTCGGATAAACAAACGCAGATGTAGATGTAGCACAGCTTATACAATATACAGCTCCACAACTCCGTGTCGGCGTCTTTGATCTGGCGGTCGAGAACCAAGCAAGACGGAATGGTGCTATCTCTGTTAGATTCGAGGGAAAAGTCGGGCCCGTATTAAACAATTTTTTTATTATTGAAAAAATTGAAAACCTTGGCGTAATAAGGTTGGTTACATGCCATATTAAGTAAGTTTTGGGAAATTAAATTTTTAATTTGTTTTAAATCTGTCAAATATAATTAGAAACATTATTTAAATATAAATATTACGAAAAATAGCACATCTTTCGGATTAGAGGTAAAATAATTTGTATGTGGCTAGTAAAATCCTCGTTAACAAATGTTTTGAGCTAAAACAGTCACTTCACGACAAATTGTGGCTTGGATCCTTTTTACACCAAGGGCTTCAATTGTTAAAGAATTGTGTCACGCTCGTGGATGCAAATCAAGTTGCAAGTGTTGCAAGTGGCAAGTGTTACTCTTCGCGCAAAGGGTTTATACCTAGATAAACGAATGCTTCGACTGAGGTCTGGGAACTCTATGGTATTTTGGAATTATAAAGAATTTGTGCTTTTATTTTAACAATATTGGTTATATTTAGATGTATTCTTATTAATTGAAATACAGATTTGTAGAAGTAATACTTTGACAGTTTTTATTAATATAATATATTCAATTTTTATCTGACCATACCGAAGTAGGGAATTTTGAAACTTTATAGTAATGTAAAATTTGAATTACAATATTACACGATATTACATAATTAGTACTTATTTTAGGTAGGTACTAAATTTGTACTTGGAGAAAGTAATATCGATTTTTATAAGAAAACTTGAAAAGTAAATTAATTTAGTTCATATTTCTGATGTAAAACTTAAGTTTTGGTTTAAACCAAGAAAACAAATAAATTATAGTTTGTTCAACAAGGATGGATATGATAGCAATATCACACAAAGACGAAGTTTGAGCACGACGTCGTATGCGGAGTACTTAATCGTCTTATTGTGATATGAACAATCCACTCGATATGGTCAGTATATTTTTTCTACGACCCACTAACGAAAATCTACAAATTTAAAAAATTATTTTAGGTTATTTAGACAAAATAACTAATTTTAAAATAATTTACGAAGTTGACTAATTTATAAAATAAAATTAACATGAAAAATTAATTAGTCCTCGGCCTAGATTCGATCCCGGGCTTTTCGCGTGGAAGGCAGATGCTCTGTCCTCATCTTCACCGAAACTTTCAGGACTTTAGTTTTAATACTCGTAATTAAATTAGTATCATGTAGTTTGATTAAAATTTATTTTTTTTTAAATGTGGACACAAAAATGCTATTATTTATCGAGTCTACACAAAAATTTTAATGTATATTTAATATCAATAACTAAAATATATATTGACAATTAGTTTAACAGAATTGTCACTTATTTAAAAAAATTTAAATAATAGGAGTTGGGTGACCAAAATATGAACTGTGATTTGTAGATTTAATTTTGTTAAAGTGGTCTCACTACCTAAAATGGATATGAAATATATTCGTAGTTGAACGCAATAACATACTTTTTCGTTTTGTAGTATGTGCATAGATTGGCTAATATCCATGCACAGATTACAAAACGAAAAAGTATGCTATTGCCTTCAATTGAACGAATATATTTCATATCCATTCTAGGTAGTGAGAACACTGCAAAAAAAATAAATTCGCCAATCACCGTTCATATTTTGATCAACCGACTGCTATTATTTTTAAAATTTTAAATAAATGACAATTCTGTCAAACTAATTGTCAGTATATTTTTTAGTTATTGAGATTAAACATACAATAAAATAAGTTATTCTTTTGGAAAACGTTAGCATGGATGACTAAAGGGTATTGGGTTAATTAATTCTAAAAGTGTGGTACAAATGTTATTTTTTGTAGCCAATTCTTCAAAATTATTTTGAAATATCTTTTCAATATTGAATATTAGTTCTACAAATTCATCATTTGACAGTTGCAGATTTCCAAATGTATCTGGATTGGCGTTATCATATGCCTTTAAAAAGCAATAAAAAGAAAAATCATCTAATTCAACGTGATCTTTGTTATATTTAAGACAGGTATCGCAGAGGAGTGGATCCGCAAGGCTTTTATTAAGAGGTAACCACACACATACCTGATAAAATTTTTCTGTATCAATTCGTCTTTACAATAATTTAGGGTGTTAATAATTTTATCATAAAATAAAATACAAGGTGTTCCATTTAAAAAACATACATTTTAATTTGCCAGGCAAAAACGTGACACCCTGTATATCCAAAGATATTTTTAAAATATGTAGGTATTTTTCAAATCCATATAACTTTTATTTAAAACTTTCTTGCGTGTCTACAACAAAATAATGAACAATAACGCACTAATGGGATACCCTGTATAAATTATATTTTTAACAATGAAAATTTCTTATAATGTGGTACTTATCGGTTTGGGTCCTTGGGAAAACTAAAGAATGTTTTCTTGCAGGTATAACCCTTATTAAAACAGCTTTTGACTGCACAAACAGAATGATATCTTTTTTTTTCACTCATTCTACTCATAGCTAAAGAGTCACCAAAATAATAACAGTACCTTTAACTCAAACAAAATCAACGAAATTATAGGCTCCACGAAATTATACAATCAACGAAATTATACGCACGACTCAACACCTTACCTAAGTACGCTTCTGAACACCAAAACCGTCTTTTCCCTTCGAAGGCGGAGCTTAAGCGATGCGCGACGAAATCGACGCAAACCGTTGCCGCCAAGAGAGTGTTTTAGCTGTATTGTTAAGCTGTGGATGTAGTATGTGTGTTCGATGTGGATAAACAAACGCTCGAGATGTAAAAAATGCATCGGATGTGAATATTCAAACGCGGCATATGTCGGCCAGAGTTGACGTAGAATTGCGAATCGTTTGCAGGAACATTTCAAACTCATTGAGGAGAAAATAAATTTAGATACTGTTTAAATTTCATCGTCTTTTAGCAAGCAGAAAAACATTCTGCTTCTTCCTCTGACTCTAAAATGTTACATTATTGCAATAAGGGTATTCAGATGGACTTAATTGAGTTTTCTGAAATTCATAAAGCTATTAATAAGAGATATTTAATTTGTGTCAATGAACAATTTCAACATAAATTCAATTATCTTTTCATGTCTCTACCTTCCTAAGTGTTAGTTAATTTGACTCTCAGTTTATATATAAAGCATTTTTCCTCCCATTAAGTATTGCTATATTTTGTTTATTTTCGGTTGATAGCTCAGCTGTCATAACTTTAATATCAAAATGATAGATGTACGTGTAGAGAAAGAGAATATTTTTTTAATTGTCAGAATAATTATTATAATATAATAGATATCCTAAATAATTTTATAGTTCCTGTTACACTTTTTGACATATTTTTTAAGCTTCTGTCTTTCGGTAATGTTTAAAAAATATCAAATTTTATGCAAATGTCTAAAATTAAGCTGTAAAATAATATTGCAATTACTTACCTGTTGTTACCAAATGGCTGTATTATCCTAGCTATGTAGGCCAATAAATTATTAAATAAAAAACTTTAATGTCACTATCTTCTTTTCTTTAGTTTTTAAAATTCTTTAGTGAGTTTACAGTTATTAACTATTTCTTCTTTTTTATCAATATTATTAATTTAATAATTTGGATTCTTTATTAGTCTGAAATTAACGATTGATACATAATTTGTTTTTATCCTCACCTTTTACATCCGATTTCTTAAGTTTGTCTAATAGATGTTTGATTTAACATTATTTTATGTATATTTTTCACTGATCACTTCGGTTTTATCTATATTTACTTCTATTCTTATGTTTTCTGTTTTTCTTGGATGTATTTTATTTATTAACTTTTGTCTGTTTTTTTTTGTAGCAAATTTTAATGTTCTACGCTAATTTGTTATACTCAAAAATGTTTTACTATTTTTTTGCAGTTACGGTTGCCTTATAGGAAACAAAACCGAGTTCATGATTTCGGCGAACTTGACCGAAGAAAAATTTCAAGAAAATCCTATAATCAATTGGGACGCGATTCTGTGGGTGAACCGCCCCCTGGAATTGTACATCGTTCAGGTTATTTTGGCCATTATCAGCCTCTCCGAGGCGCTCCTATTGGCCTATCTCGGATACAAGGTAAGATTTAATTAATATCTACAATTAATATTGATTGTGGTTTAATAATACATATTCCATAGTTGATATTGGGAAATTTATTTAAAACTGAATATTTCTAAAAATGTATGGCTGTTTGTCTGTCTGAATAAGATTTAAAGATATAAATTTTCAAAAATAATTAATTTTATTAAACCAACTTAAGTGAGGAATGGATTTACTTTAACCTATCTAGATTTGGAAGGGCCAAATATTATTATACAGGGTGTTTCAGATTTAAACAAACACGGCTTAATGGGAGGTAGAGTACACTTAGCTGAGTACAAAACACCCCCATACTTAGCCTTTAATTTTACTCGTTTCTGAAATAAAGGGTGTTTTATGATTTTTTTGCCAAAACTAAAATCGGCCATTTTGATAAAATTTTATACAAAAGTTACACTCTCTTGGGTTAATCAAAACCATAATTTAATTTTAATAAATGTTACTTTACATTTAAATAGTACGTTGATCAATAAATAAAATAATGTAATAATATTTAATGGCACCATCTTGATTTTCTTACAGTAAATTTTTATAATGGCGACTACAATCTAAGCTGTGTCCGTTTAAATCTGAAACACCCTGTATACTACTGCAGAAATACTGTTCAACCTCTGTCTGTCTTCTTTTTACCTAGTTTATTTTAAGAAACACCATGCTATCCATCCTAATCTGCTACTGTTGTATTTTCGATTAAAATATTCGTTTAAATTTGGGCGCTTCATTTCGAGTAATTGAATTTTATATTGCCGAAACACTCACTTCCCTAAAAAAAAACACGAAGCGGGAGGACAAAAAAAAAACAAAGCCATCGGATATTGTAATATGCCGTCACTTTTAAAGTAATTCGTTGTCGTTTCTATACTCGATTTCATTATTTCAAAAAAAAAATACCTTACGTTCGTTTTCATAAGAAAACGCGGGTTGTTCTTTAAATGGCATAAACGAGCCAAAAATAATTATACTATTTGTGGTAAAACAAAACTTATTAAAAGTAAAAATATAGAAGTTAATTAACGGTATGATGGATCTGAAATGGTTAACAAAAAATTTTAATATGATACTTGAGAAAAAAACTTGCTAAAAAAATACCAATTGATGAAAAACTTTTCAAAGAACGATCTAATAGGTATAAATAATTTTTTCCCACTAGGTAAAATAAAATAAGTCAGTTTTATTAGTTATTTTTTGTTATTCGTGGGTATAATAACTAATACTTTTATATACATACTACAAGTTATTTGTATGAAGTTACATGTTTTTTGTTATATGTATTATCCAAGTTAACATGGATTTTGAATATCAACTACTTTTTTCATAATTAACTTAGGTATAGGCAACACTTTATACACTACTTACAACAAATTTTCAGTTTTATATCTATTTCTTAAAAAGTGTGAACGTAGAAAAAATTTTCCCTTATCAATGTATTATTATTTAAACCTCTTTCACTATATTATATTTCATAACTCTCCTTTGAGCTTTTTTAATATCCTGAAACTACCATTAAAGTATTCCAAATAATATTTCGTTATGATAACAGGAACAAACAAGTTAATTGGTATAGATACTACATTAGTAAAGCTTTTACAATTTATTATTATACAGTGCTTATTTCTTGTGTTAGGCATACGACTAGTATACGAGTTAATAAAATGGCAACAGGGCAACAACCAGTTATCGTTGTCCACTAGAATTAGAAGATATGGTGGTGGGATATTAGCCGAACCGAATGTGAGGCACATAGCTAGAGAGCGATAGCGGGGATATCATAATTGCCGCATGTTCGCTGTAAAAGCACGGCTATGCCTAATACAAAATAATAAGTACTGTATAAAGCGATACATTTTTTAAAAGTTCTAATACTTTATATCCATATGATTAAAAAAGTTAGATTTGAATTAAATATAATTCATATATTGTCATTTATGAATATTATATATATTTAGTTAACAGTTTTAAATAAACTTAAAGGACTACTTTTTAACAATTAAATAATGTTAGCGATACCTTTCAAATTTCCTTGAATTTCATTACAATCTTCCATACTTTAAACACTGAGTATATTTGGAGACTAATTTTCTACATTAAACAAAATATTTATAGAAAATTGGAATAATAAGTGTTGCAGATTGATTTCTTATGGACCATCACTAGTAAAGAAAAACATGGTTTTTTTTTTTTTTTTTCGATTTATGGCCTAGGTGTATATACCTAATATGCCAGTCTCAAATTTGTGTTTAAATTCTCAATCATGTGTGTTCTGTGTAGGCTTTGTTACTGTTTCCCAGCGCCACTTTAGGAACAGCACTGTTAATTAGAACCCAACAGTGAATGGTCGAGTGGGGAATCCTACCAAGGCATCAGAATTAATTTTAAATAATTCTGATGCCTTGGTAGGATTCCCCACTCGACCATTCACTGTTGGGTTCTAATTAACAGTGCTGTTCCTAAAGTGGCGCTGGGAAACAGTAACAAAGCCTACACAGAACACACATGATTGAGAATTTAAACACAAATTTGAGACTGGCATATTAGGTATATACACCTAGGCCATAAATCGAAAAAAAAAAAAAAAAAAAAACAATGTTTTTCTTTACTAGTGATGGTCCATAAGAAATCAATCGAAAAACATGGTTTGTAATTAAAAATAATAACCCCACTAAAAAACCTAAATTAAACAATTATAAGTCCATGTTCCTATGATCAACCTTATCCAAAGCTTTAAAACTCTTTCTATATAGATATAGTATCATCTTGCTCTTGGTTATCTAAAACATGAACAGAAATATATTCAGTTAAGCATAGGTTAATAACTATTCAATGATTATTTATAAAATTTTGATTATATTATGTAATATTATCCAGGAGATAGATAAATAAATGCAATTGCAAAGAAAACTAATAAAAAGTACACAATATGACACTAATTTGATTTCGTCATACTTTTAAATATTATATTGTACATACTATTGTTTCTTTACATAATTCACTATTTTTTCAAGGTTTTGTTTTTAATGCAAAATAAATTAAAAATTTGTTTCATAAGTTATTTCAACAAATATATCTAAAGGTCTAGTTTAACAATAAACATTCAGTCTTAAATTAATGTCACCAGTGTGTTACATAGAAATAGTTTGTTGGTGATTGTCTTTCTTTAGCAAAGATTTCATCATGGCTGAAGTGACAATGAACTTGTGATATGACTAGTGAAGGATACAATACACATTGCTTAATTATTATAAGCTATATAAATCTAAGAAGTTCATTACAATGAATAGTGGACCATAAAGATGAGATATAACAGAAAAGTCAAATTGTAAATTTACTTGGTTATAACTAAATTACAATGTCATAAATTAAGTAAGTTGTACATAAATAATTTAAATAAATAAAAGTAACCTATAAAGGATTGTACAAGGGCAAATAAAATAAGACAAAATCATATTCTGAAAAAAATATCAATAAAAAAAAACTTCTATCAAGGTAGTAATAGTGGGCATTTTCCAAATAAAAAAAAAAGTAAAAAAGAAGTGACAGTCAACACGTTTTTCTGACTATTGGTCTTTATCAGTACGGTGCAGCCAAGTTCAAAGGATCCTGGAACTTGTGTTGGAAAAATTGTACAATAGGAGAAGTCACTAACAAGGAGCCAATAACACATTTGCGGTTTCAGTCAGTATACCCATAATTTTCTGGGTCTATACTAACGTCACAAAATTTTCTTCCTATGGCTATCAGCTATTCTTTCCTAAAATCTTTTGGTATGCTACAACAAACCATACAAATTATTGTATTTTGTAACTACACAAATACATTCGGCTGTTAGCATTCGAAGTGAGTGGTCGACAGTACGGGTATTTATCAATAGTGATAACAAATTGAGTTTTTAGATTTAAGTGCGGTATAAAACATGGAAAAAAAATGGAAAAGAAGGTCTTCCTCCAGATAGAGGAAAATCTAACTTACATTACGAGTCAATTGTTTCAATGGATTGTGAAAGTGGCAATGGAACTGGAGAAAATTCAAAACAAGAAAACGATTCAGATAAGTACATAAATAATCAAACTAACATTAATTCTGCCGATAATTGCGATAAAAACGATAACCGAAATATCGAAAAGAACTTTTATAGTACGGGCGATTCAGGGCCTTATTTTGTATTTATTGAGAATAAAACTGGTAATATTGGTAGGCTACATAGAATAGGAACCGCTAGATTAATACTTAAATCAGTACCGGAAATTGAAAAAAACATAACAAATATTGCAAGTGTAGGTAAAAATAAAGTAAAAGTTGAATGTAACTCGTTAGAGAGCGCAAATATACTTGTCAAGTCAAAGGTATTACGGGAAAAACAATATGATGCTTACATCCCAACATATTACACAGAAAAACGCGGAGTAATTAGACAGGTAGACACTGATATTACGGAAACAGAATTAAAATCAATTATAACAGGTAGATACGGAAATCAAATAAAAATTGTCAATGTTAAAAGAATGTTCAGAAAAGTTGAAGATAAGCTAATTCCAACAGGTACTATCGTGGTTTCATTTAAAGGGCAAAGAATTCCGGATCAAGTGGTTATTGAACGTATGGTTTACGATGTGGATAAGTATATCCCCAGAGTTGTGCAATGCCTAAATTGTTTGCGATACGGTCATATAAGTAAACAGTGTAAGAGTAAAATTCGTTGTCAATTTTGCGGCGAAGAACACGAAAAAGAAGTATGTCCTACTCAACAAAATCCACAATGTATTTTATGTGGGGGAGCACACCCTGCAACAGATAAGAATAATTGTCCCATTTTTGTGGAACAAAAATCAGTAAAAACTCTTATGGCTTTAGAAAATCTTACATACGTTGAAGCAAAATCAAAATATAATTCTTCTTATGCAGGTGTTGTTGCTGGAAACGACAATCATCTTTCCCAAAATTCCAGATATACGGTACAACTTAAAAGAAAAAGGTCAGAT